GACTGGCAAGGTTGGTGGGAAGAGTGGGACTGGACCGACCAGGCTGGCGACACCGGTGCCAGCGGGTCCAGGGACGTCCCACCCGCCTCCTCTGAAGGGCGTGGTCGCTCCACCCCTTCAAAAGGGCGAGGCAAACAGCCCTCCGTCCACAGGAAGGACAAGGCCCTCGTCCAGGCCTACCGGAAGCATGTGGACGAGCGTGCCAAGAAAAATCCCGATGCGAGGCGGGTTTCGGTTTCCAGCTTTTGTGCGGAACCGGAAACGTCCCCCTCGCAGCCAGAGGGAGGCCCTAAAGGCCGAAAGGGAAGGGTCCAACCCTCCCAAGGCCTCGGTGGACGGCAAGCCGCCCAGAGTCCGCACCCCTCCGCCTTCCAGGCGGACGGGCGGCAACAGCAAAGGCGCGGCAAAGGCTGTGAAAGCCTCTACAAGCTCCACGGAAAGCTCCGAGAGCAGCCCCCCGACGGCACCGACGGAGCCTCAGGAGCCCGAAGACCAGGAAGAGATGCTGCCCTGGTCCCGCCGTATCGTTCAGAAAACGACGGCGGTAAAGTCGTCGGCCAGGGCCAGGTCGGCCAAGCTCTGGAGAGGAGATGGAGCCTGACCCACCCTCTGCTGCGCCGGGTCCCAGTGCCGTGAAGGCACCCTCCGAGCAGGAGGCCACCGAGGTGCCCACAGCCTCACCCATGGAGGAGGTGCCTGCCGCCAAGGATGACCCCACTTCCGGGGCTCCGGTCTCAACAGGCTCAACCTCCCCTTCTAGGGTCGAGGAAGGAACAAGTGACACGCCCTCCGCAGGGCCTGCTGGCACAGCCAGTGAGCGGGATCCTGCTCCTCAGGAGGCGCCACCTAAGCCCCCGGGGCCTGAGACCCCGCCTGCTGGCCCCCGGTCTGCTACGGCCCAGGGGAGGGGACCCAGAGGGAGGAGGGAGCCCCTAAAGCCCCTCCCAGCAACCCGGCACCTGCCAGTGCATCGAGGGTTGAGGAGCCTCCTCCCCTCCCTCCTCCTCCCCATCCCCCCGAGGGAGGAGCAGCCCGAGAAACAGGGGCGATGTCCCAGGCGGTGCCCCGGCGGCGACCCAGTTCATGCGCCTCGACATAGAGTGTCGCCAACCGCCGGAGGCGAGATGGATCGCCCTGGCAGTGAAGCCCTCAGCCCTTGCCTCTGAGGTGCTCAGCCTGTGCCGCAACAGGCTCAAGCTGGGGGGATTGGACTGCCTCCAGGTCTGGCCAGACGACCTTCGGTTGCCCATGGGCGACCAACTCCGCGAGGGTGAAAGGACCCTCATGGCTACTGGGCCTTCGGCCCTGCAGCCAGAGGTCCCCGAGGCCAGCGAGCCCTCCCTCAGCGAGGCTGCGGGGTCTACAGGAGGGACGGGGTGCCCCCCCAGCTTTCTTCGGATTCAGCTCTTGTAGAGGATGTGGAGGCACCACCCTCGTATGGACCCCACCGTGCAGTCAACAGCCCGGATGGGCTCTTTTGTTACGCTTGTAGGGTCGGGTGCCCTACAATCGAACATATGCAAGCCCACTTCATGACCCCCGGGCATCAGGAGCGGGTCAGGAGGTTTTTGGCCTCCTAGCCTCCCCTCTCCTTTGCAGAGGCTGGAGGCTCTGCAGGGTGAAGGGTTCCTCCCCTCTGGGTGAGGCTCCCTCCCTGTAGGACTTTCGTCCTGTTTCACTGGGATGTGGCTCCCCACTCCCAGGAAGTGGCTACCCGCTCCTGCCAGTAGCTCAGGTAGGTCAGGCAACCTGTAGCTCAGGGTAGGAGTAGCCACTGCCGCCATTTTGGCGATGCCCGCAAACGCGGATGACTCCAAAATACTTGGAGTTAATTTGTGCATGTCGGACAAGCCTACGGGCTGCTTCTGCGAAGCGTGTGCGAGAAAATCCCATTTCATGGCTCAAGGTCTCGGCTCAAAAGGCCAGGTAGGGAGCGGTAGCTGTCGGAACTGGGTTCGAGGCCTAACCGTGTGTGGGGTTCCAGGCCCGCTTTTCCAGTTTTAGAGTTGCTGCCATGGAGGCTGCCCTTTAGACCAACCAAAGGACACTTTGGTGTAACCGCCCCGGGTTTAACCTGGTGAAAGGCGGTGTTGTTAGCAACCAAGTTTTGGCTTGGTGTTTTGAAGGCTAGGAGTTTGGCACTTGTCTGTGTAGCCTTGTGGCGTGCCTGTTTTCCTTGAGCAACAGTGGTGGTGCTACCAAACTGCCTAACCACTGGCGCTAGAGTGGTGACCGTTTGGGGCTGGAAGTTTGACTGGTGACCATGTCCTTTCATGGTGGTGCCTGTTGAGACGTGGCAGACCAGTCGTGTTGCTAAGCCTTCGTGTCCTTTAATGCAGGTAACTGGTCTAAGACCTGGTGGGCACCAGGGTCTGCAGGTCCTGTTTAGCAGCGAGCATTGCCGACCCCAACACACTGCAGCCTGTGAGTTTGGGGGTTTAGGATGTTTAGGAATGCTTGTCAAAGCCGAGAGTGGTGGAACTACGTCTCCGCCTGCGGAGGGATTCGTGAGGTTAGGTAGCAGAGTGCCCAGCGCTGGCACCGGCATGGGTACTTGGTCCGTGTTAGTAAGAGCGAGAAAGCAGGGGCCACCTGACTCTTCACGTTGCTCTCGGGCAGTTAAGCGGACAGGCTCATACTGTATGCTGGGTTGGCCCAAGCCCCGCGTCAGTTTTGATTACCTGGACACGATGCAGCTTCCACAACAAGTAAAGTCTATTACCAGAAGTGCAAGTATTGTGAAAGGTGAGTTTGGCTACGCTCATCCCCTGCGCTCCTTCCGGGCTGTGAGCTGGCAGGAGTTCTGTCGTACCTCCCATGCTTCTGGTAGTATTAAGTTTTGGGCGCCTTGGTGTCGTTTTGCCAGTACCAAGGTAGGAATTTCGCACTGTGCAGGGAGGAAACAAACCTATGCCTACGTCCTGGCATGGGTAAATGCTTGGAGGAAGTCTGCAGGCTTAGCCCGGCCTCAGGCTACCTTCGTGCCAATGTGTTTTGGCGTCGTGTTAAGACCCGGTGCAAGGAGGGTTCTCGCCCTTGTGAATATGGAGTGCCTGTTGGTACGAGGGCCTGGGAGAAGTGCTGTATGTTCTGGCGCATGCGCTTTGTTGGTTTTGAGGGAGCTTGCTGCGGAAGGCTAGCTCTCCTTATCTTTGCTCATCGCACACCTTTTCACGCCGCAGGTAGGGCCTCCTGGAAGAGGTAAAACCTGCACGAAGGAAAACGTAAGAACCTGGTGTGAGAGGTTAAAAGGGACCTAGGTGCGCAGGTGGCACTGGAGAGAAGGTGGTAGCCCTGCGTGAGCGGAAAACGTAAGGACCGTGCATCTAGGTAGGCAAGTTGTTTGGGTGAGCGGGGCTAGGGAGGGTTGGCTTTCCGGCCCTTTGTGTCTCCACATGGCCCTTATTGTGAGGGAATGTAATCGCCTGCTGCCTGGCAAGTGCAGTGCAGGAGAAGCCAGTGTCATGCTTGATAAAGGCTTTTTTACCAGGGAAACCTGGTGTGACCGGCAAATAGGACGTGGTTTTGGCACCCAGTTAGTGGCAAGACAGCTGGGGTCTCAGGTGCAACAGCAGAAAACAAGAGGTAACAGAGCACTAGGCCTGAGGCTGCATGCTCGCATGACGTGAGTTTTGTTTTGAAAGAGTGCGCGCCACTTCTTCTGTCTTAACAGTAACTCACAGTCTCTCTGCGAGAACTGGTGCTACCAGGGACTTCTGGTGTTACCAGACTCACTAGCCCTCTAAAGTGACCAGGCCTACCGCACAGTCTGGTGTTACCAGGGTAGTGAGCAGACAAAGAACTGCAGGCACCTTGAAACTGTACAGGGTGAGTGCCGTAGAGAAGGTTGGTCCCTGCAAGTGGACAGCCTGTTGGTTGGACTCGTTAGTAAGAGCGAGAACGCGAGTCGGCTTGTATAGTGCTGCTTACCCGACTTAGTGTACAGTTGTTTGGTTTAGTTGTTAGGAATACGTTTCACCCACCGCCGGCCAATGGCCTGGCAGCGACTTGTTCGCCCAAGACGAGAAAATCCCATTTCAACTGGGCTGCCTGATGTACCGTGTGAGGCCCTGGATGTAGAGCCTGTGGTGGTAGACCAAGGTTCCGGCGGCGGCCGAATTGGCCGTTCTGTACTCCGAAGCCACAATTCCGCCGACCGGCAATCCGGAGGTGGCCGAATTGTCCCTTCTGTACTCAGAAGCCACAATTCCGCCGAGGGCCTGGATGTGAGCTTTAATGTCCCACTGCCGTGTATCCCTAATGAGCTGGCTTCTTTTCAGGAGGGCAGTTGGTTTTCATTTCAGGCCCCGAACCCGTGTGCTCCTGCTTGTTCGGCGGGCCCTAACCCCATTTTGCAGCAAACAGGTTGGAGGTCCAGTGAGGCTGAGGAGGAGTGTCATTTGGGGCCTGCTTTGGAAGCTTCATGTGTGGGCTGTGGGTCAGAGCCTACACTGTCGGCCTCGGAATCCCAGGAGGCCCTTTTATTCTATCAGGCGTGTTGGCGCGCTCACTGCGCCAGACCTTGCGCTGAGCTAGCAGTTGCGATGCAGAAGTGCGGTCAATTTTGTGCCACCTGTCTGTGCAAATTTTCGTACCAGTGTGCTGCTGCTGACTTGGTGCAGAGTTGCAAGCAGCCTTGCGTGATCACAGGGCCAAAATTTTTCTGGCCCGAACATGAGTATGCTTTCTTGCAGGACTCATGGCAGGATGAGGCCCCAAGTGCTGTCTGCAGTGGTGTAGGGCAGTCTGGGCAGACAGAGCGGGTTCCCAAGTCCAGGCGCACTAGGCGGCGTCGCAATCGTTGGCTGAGGCGCGCAGCTATGCCAGTGATAAGTGGGGAACTCGCAGGGTCATGCAGCCGCTCATGTGAGCAGTTTTCGCCGGCCTTTCTTGATTCAATAATAGAGCCCCTGCCATGTGAGCAGGGTGCCCCCAAGACCCAGGAGGTGGAGGTTATGTTCAGGAGTTGGAAGTTGCCTCAGGAGGGTGGGCCGCTGGCCATGGGTCTTGGGGGACCGGAAGGAGGGCCCTGGATGCTTGCTGCGGGCCATTTGTCTGAAGCAGGGCACGGTAACACCTCCTTGCATTCTGATGTGCGCCCTGCTGGCTGCACTCAGACTGTTTCCCAGGATTCTTCTCGTGGTTCCCTTGATGTGAGCTTTGACGGTGGCACTCCCACAAGTTGCCAAAAATCGGATTTTGAAAACCTTAAAGCTGCGGTTCTGGCTGGGGATGCTCCGTCCATCTTGAGCTTAGTCGAGTCTTTTGAGCAGCAAGGCCTCATCACCGAAGGCACTTTTCATTGGAAGGTTGTGGAGCTTGCTGTGGAAACACAGGAGGACGTGCCTCCTCATGTGGCCGGCTGGGCAATTGACGATGCCCTGGCAAACCTTAAGGAACCGAAATATCGGGATGACTTGTGCATTGTCTCGGCTAATGTCTCGTCTTGGAGGAAGGACCTGTGCCCCTGGGTTGCGCAGCTCGGTGCCTCGGTCGTTATGTTACAAGAGACGCATCTGTCCCCGGATCAGCCCGATTTGATTGAAGGCCAATTGGGGGTTTATGGTTTCAATGTCTTTAGTGTGCCGGGGCAGCCCACGGGCCGGGGCGGTACATCAGGCGGAATGGCAATTTGCTTTCGCAAGCACTTGAATGTCCGGCGGGTGCATCAGTTTTTCAAGGCCGGGGCTGGGTTTCAGGTTGCTGCTATTCGATTGCGGGACACTGATTGCTATCTAGTTAACCTTTATTTGAAGGCTGGTGAAGGCTTTCAGAGTGCCACCAATTCGCAAATTTTGGCTAATCTGCTCGCTTTTCTTACGTCGGCCCGGGGCATTTACTTTGCTGCAGGCGACTTGAATGAGGATTTTGAGACCATAGCAGCCAGCAGTTTTGCTCAGGAAGCCAAGGGCCATTGGATCAGCAGTGGAGAGTCCACGTGTGCAGGGGGAGGCAATATTGACTTTGGCCTTCTTTCCCCCATCTTGGCTGCGGGTGCTAAGTTGGTTGTCGATTGGGACACTCCTTTTGCTCCACATGCGGCCTTGCATTGGACACTGCAGCTTGAGCATTTTGACTTTAAGCTGCCGCAGTTGATTGCTTTTAAGCCTGCACCGTTACAGCCTCAGCCCTTTCTCTCGAGTGTTGTCGCTGACCCTCGTGGTGAGCAGGTAGCCGTCCAATCCCAGGAGGAGTTGCATCTGCTTGGGACTGAGGTCGCTGAGCCTGGACTGAGTGCGCTTTTCGCCAGCCTCAGTAGGGATGTTGAAGTTTCGATCTTTGGTTGTAGTCAAGGCCGAGGTGCCAAAGTCCAGGTCTGCAGGAGGCCCCTTGTTGTCCCCATTGCTCCTGCTTCTGGTTGGGGAGGGGCTCTCGCCTCCTTTTGGCGTCGCATGGTTGTGTGGCTGCAAGCTTGCTCAAAGCGTTTCCACGTGAGCCCTTTTGGCAGGTCGGCCTCACTCCGCTTTGGCAGCATGTGGGCCGGTGCGGTTTCTGATCGGGATGCCTTTCAAGCTGACCTTCAGGTTCTCCTGCAATCAGGGGATGTGAGAGTGTTGCCTGGACTGCTTGCAGCTGCACAGAAGCAGCATAAGGCCCATCAACAACAATGGCAGCAAGAGAAAAGTGCATCATATGGTCAATGGCTCCGGCAGTCGACTCAAAAAGGCATGAGGCCCTTGTTCCGTAGTGTTAAGGCTGAGGAGGTTGTAACTGTTCGCCCCTTCCTTGATGCCCCTGTGCAAGAACGCATCTATTTGAGGTGGAGGCATTGGTTTGAACTGTGGTCGCATCCAGCTGGGGTCGATCGTGATCTGCTGGCCTCCTTGAAGCATGCTGCGCAGGAGCAAGCCCGGTTGTTGCATCCGATCGACTTGGAGCGGGCTGTAGGGTTTTTCAAGAAGGTTCCCACCAAAGCGCCCGGCTTGGATGGCTGGACTTGTGAGATGCTTCGTAACCTCAGTGTTGAAGCTGTGCAGGCAATTCTTGAATTCTTCCATCATTGTGAGCGCGAGGCTTCTTGGCCGGACCAAATGGTGTTTGCACTTATAGCCTTGTTGCCTAAGTCCGAAAAACGTGAGCGCCCCATTGCATTGTTGCATATCCTTTACCGTGCTTGGGCCAAGCTGCGGTGGCCTTTGGTTGCCACGTGGCAGGCTGCTTATGCTGCTCGTGCCACTTGGGACAAGGCTGTCCCGGGTGGCCAGGCGCTTGACGTAGCACTGGCAAGGCTGATGCTGGGAGAGTCGGTGCGGAGGTGCAAATCCCACCTTATAACATTGTTCCTAGACATGGAGACATTCTACGATAGGTGTGTTTTTGATGACGTCATTCGCTCGGGACTTTCTTTGGGCTACCCTCCTTTAGTTTTACATCAGGCCTTGCTTACTTACATGGGGCCTCGCTTTATCCAGTCGGAAGGTGCATTGTGCCCTCCCATTTGGCCGGGGAGGGGAGTTCTGGCTGGATGTCCAGCGGCGCCGTCGGTATCAAAACTCGTCATCCACCCAGTTGCTGAAAAGCTGGCTTCAAAGAAAAGTGCATGCAACCTTGACATTTGGATTGATGACCTGTCGCTTGATTCGGTTAATAAGTCTCCGGTGCAGGTTGCCAGTGATTCCCTTCTGCTGTTCAGGGCTCTCCGACGGGATTTGGAAGCTAGGGGAGCTCAGATCTCAATTTCAAAAACATGCTTTGTGGCATCGTCGACGGAGGCGGCCAAGGCCATGAGCAAAATTCTTGATGCCAATGATCCTCAGGTCAAATCGATGACTCGGGACCTTGGTGTGACTTCAGCCGGTGGTCGCCGTCGTGTTTTGGGGCTTGCGGAACAGCGCAGGAAAAAGGCGGCCGGCAGGTCGCGGAAACTCAACCGTCTGGCCATCCCGGGGAGGGCGCACCGTTTGCGCATCGTGAAAGCATCTGTGTGCTCGGCTGGCCTCTGGGGCCATCAGGCGCAGGGAGTGAGTCCTAAACGCCGTAAATTCTACAGAACGCTCATCGCTAAGCATCTAGGCAGGCACAAGCTTGGATCGCTTGATCTCACCTTTGTTGTCAACCGACGGCGATGCGAGGATCCTCACCTCACCTTGTTACGTCAGCATGTTCGTGCTGTGGCTAGGGTTTTCCGCCGTTGGGTTTTGGTTGACTCGGATAAATTTAAGTCTACTTGGGTGAGCATTTGGTTATGGCTCTCGCCGTCGCAACACCCGTGGAAACGGGTTAATGGGCCGCTTGCGGCTTTGATCGCTTACTTGATCGAGCTGGGGGTGCAGGCGCCGCAAGCTCATCATTGGCAGCGCGGAGACAGCACCTTGACCATTGATTGGGCGTGCCATGATGCTACTAGGAAGGTTTGGCATTGGCTCTTGCCACTGTGGGAAACTGTTCAGTTGCAGAGGGTGTCCCTCTTAGAAGGTGCTTTGGATTTGGGTTCGGGAGTAGACCTCACCGTCCCTAACCGCCTCCTTCGACGCAGGTTTTTTAACAAGTACATGGCAGTGAACTTGCAAGCACTTTGGCAAGGGGCCTTGATTGGTCAATCATGCCCGGGGTGGTGCACTGTTTGTAATTGCCCACTTAGTTTGCAGCACGTTCTGTGGGATTGCCCTTTTATCACTGCTAAATACCCTGAGCCTTCGCATTTCCGTGCCGCCCGCCAGAAATTCCCATGGCCTTGCCTTTGGCTTAGGGGTTTAGTCCCTCAGGCAGCGACTGGGTTAAAAATTTCGAAGGGCTCCTCGGGTTTAGTGTGTGAGGGTTTGTGGCAAACACAACAAGTACTTAGCAGTGACAATCTGGTGTTTGCTTCAGACGCTTCAGGTGGCCCAGGGGCCCGGGACCTTCGTTCTGCTTGTGTGGCTTGGGCCATTGGGGCCTATGAGATCACAGAGGATGGGGCCCGCCGTGTTGCGAGCATCACCTCTTTTCCACAGCGGCCCTTGTCGGTTGCGGGTGCGGAGCAGCAAGCAGCCTATGAACTTTTCGCACGTGTCTCAGGTACCTTCGACTTGACGGTTGACTGCAAAGCTGTTGCTCAGGTTGTAACTAAAAAATCCCCGCCTCTTGAGGGACCTACTCCATGGGGTTTGGTTTGGTCTGAGCGAGCTAGAGCTCGCATTACCTGGGTGCCCAGTCACAAAGATTCCAAGTATTATGCTGATAGGGGCATTCCTGAATTGAGGCGTCGTGTCAATGAAGATGTTGATGCACTCTGTGGCAAGCGAGCTGCTGGGGTGTTTCAGGCTGCAACCAAGCCGGACCTAGTCGGCATAGATACGCTTTGGGAGGAGGTTTGTTTGCACTTGGCTAGGAAAATTGGGTTTATCCTTCTGCATAAAAATGACAAATCGTTTCCGTGGCTTTTCCAACGTTGCAAACAGGAGTCTGGTGATTCTTCTTGCAATAAAGTTCTCCCTAACCCTGTGTTTTCTAAAGGCAAGGGTAGGTTGCCACAGGAAACAGGTTGCAGTGTCCCTACACCTGAGGTTACCCCTTGCGCTTCGACTGGTGCTGCCAAGGCCACCAAACCTCTCAACAAGAAGCAGAGAATGTTGGCGAGGCTTTCAGGCGACGAGGATTCACTGGGTCACCAGTGGGTCAAGGGAGCCGAGGGCTCCACCAACATGACCATGAAGTGTGCAATTTGTGGATTGTACTTGCAGCAAATCAACGATCTGCCCAGCTTCGATCGCCTTATGCATCACCCGTGTAAGGGTCGAGGCGACCCTTTGCAGCAATGGAATATTCACAGCTCGCATGACATGATCAACATGGGAGTGCAGTGGTCGTGTGCTAAGTGTGGCAGGTTGCAGCGCCCACAGCATGCTACGGGAGCCAAAACCCTTCAAAAACCGTGTGATGGCAGGGCTCCTGTCAGTCAGTTGGGTAAACTTGCGCAGAGTGCCGGCAACCAGTCTTTAAGTGACACAGCGCCGGCCATTCCAGCGCAAAAGGTGGCTGTCCCTTTTGGCACTAAGAAGGGTGAGCAACCAACCGTTGATAAGGGACCCAGGCAGGCAACTCTTAAGTTTGGTTCACCTCCTGCTGTTGCCCCGAAAGGTAAGTCCAAAAAGCAAGCGGACCAAAAGCAAACTAAGCTTGCCTTTAGCCAGGGTTCTAATCCAGCCTCTCCCCGGTAGTTTGCAGCTTCTGCGCTCCCATGGTGAGCAGCACCAGCGCAACACACTGAGGAATGATGACTATGTGCACTGCTCGCTTCCAGTCTTGAGCCTTGCGGGTTTCTTGTGCAGTTTTGCTGTTTTGCGCTCCCACGGTGAGCAGCAGTAGAGCCACACTGCCAAGGGTTGATGAATATGTGCACTTTTCTTGGGTACAGTCTTGAAGGCTCTTGGAGTTCTGGCCTTGTGCTGGCCAAGCAGGGAGAGTTACTCACAGTTGCTCAGCGGGGGTCCACTTGGGCCCAGCGCTGCCAAACTGGTTGTTTCCTGTACTTCGAGGCGGTTCCAGAGCTTTACGGAACGAGTCAACGCGTCACTGGCGCTAGAGTGGTGCGGCCATCGGAAGATGTCTGTACGACTCTAGCTGGCGTTGTACAGTTAGCTGTAGTTCCACGGTAGTCGCTGTGTACAGTCGTAGTGGGCTGCCGGCAGCTGGAACTTGGGAAGCACGGGGATGCTTCCGCTTGCTTTGTCTACGGTGTTCTCTGAAGGTGCCATTCCTGCCTGCATGCCCGTTGAATTTGTGGCTCATTGGCAAACCTGCAGGGCACTGTTTTGCAACACTTGGTCCAGTGGGACTTGCGTGCAACAGCTTTGCCTCGCTACTTTCGGGTGACGGGGCAAGGCTTCCGTAGGCAGGTAGTCTCCTCTGTAGATCAGTGTTTTAGGTCTGTTTTTCCACTTAGCCTTGGAGCTGCGACTGTCTGCTCGCTCGGGAAGAAAATCCCATTACAGTCTTGAAGGCTCTTGGAGTTCTGGCCTTGTGCTGGCCAAGCAGGGAGAGTTACTCACAGTTGCTCAGCGGGGGTCCACTTGGGCCCAGCGCTGCCAAACTGGTTGTTTCCTGTACTTCGAGGCGGTTCCAGAGCTTTACGGAACGAGTCAACGCGTCACTGGCGCTAGAGTGGTGCGGCCATCGGAAGATGTCTGTACGACTCTAGCTGGCGTTGTACAGTTAGCTGTAGTTCCACGGTAGTCGCTGTGTACAGTCGTAGTGGGCTGCCGGCAGCTGGAACTTGGGAAGCACGGGGATGCTTCCGCTTGCTTTGTCTACGGTGTTCTCTGAAGGTGCCATTCCTGCCTGCATGCCCGTTGAATTTGTGGCTCATTGGCAAACCTGCAGGGCACTGTTTTGCAACACTTGGTCCAGTGGGACTTGCGTGCAACAGCTTTGCCTCGTTACTTTCGGGTGACGGGGCAAGGCTTCCGTAGGCAGGTAGTCTCCTCTGTAGATCAGTGTTTTAGGTCTGTTTTTCCACTTAGCCTTGGAGCTGCGACTGTCTGCTCGCTCGGGAAGAAAATCCCATTTGACCTTGGATGTCCTGATGTTTTCGGCATGCCTGAAGCTGTGAGGAGTGCTTTTGAGTTAGGAAGTGACTGCACGTTCGTTTCGTCTCGTTTCGTTAGTGCTTGAAGTGTTTTGCTTGGAGACAGACAGCTGCAAGGTGTTTCACTGTCAGTCAGAGCCCGACGCGACTCCGCTTTGGCTCAAGAAAAAGACCGAGTGCTGCGCGCTCTGTTTTTCACACTGTATGTACATGATGCAAGCAAAAGGAAACAACAAGTGAGGCGTACCCAAGGCTCGCTGCAAAGGGCTCAACAGTTGACCCTGTGACGTTCCGAACCGGTTGTGTAAAGCAGCCGAGTGGCTGTGAAGCAGTTCCATCGCTTCCTCATTTGCCAACAGCTTCAAACCACTCACGCCCAGGCTTATCTCAGTGAACTGGGAGTGGAGGCGTCGGACCCTTGTCAGTGGGTGCATAGTAGTACGTCCCTCAGTGTAGATTGGAAGTCGCAGGACACCTGCCGCCAGGTGTTGCAATGGATTTCCAGGCTGCACCAGGCTCGGGTGAGGGAGCGCATTGCTGTCTTAGAAGGCTGCCAATTGCTTAAACAAGGGGTTGACCTAGCAGTGCCCAAGAAACTTCTGAGGAAAAAATTCTTTAACAAAAACACCCTTGTGAGTCTCAAGGCCCTTTGGCAAGGTGCACTTTTGAGTGAGTCAAAACCTGGCTACTGCAGCCGATGCAAGTGCCGGCTCAACCTTCAGCATGTGCTGTGGGAATGCCCGGCCATCACTGAGCGCTTCCCCGAACCGGAACATCTCAGGCGAGCCCGCGGGGATTTTCCGTGGGACAGCTTGTGGCTTCGAGGCCTCATGCCCTGGTGTCACATTGTGATGCCGCATCATGGGGGCCACTTGCAAGGTCTTCGTGTTGAAGGCTTGTGGAAGGATGGCCGTGTGCTCGATGCTTCTGCTTTCGTGTTTGCCACCGATGCTTCGGGTGGCCCAGGCAGCTCTGACGATCGCTTAAGGTGTGTGTCATGGGCCATTGCAGCCTACACTTTGACTTCGGAAGGTCCTCAAAGGGTTGCCAGTATTTCTTGTCTGGATAGGAACCTCACGGTGCCTGCTGCTGAACAAAGGGCACTTCTGGAACTTTTCAAATGGGTTTCCGGTGATTTTGACGTGACGATCGACTGTAAGAGTGTAACACAGATCTTGAAAAAATCTTCACCCCCGCAAGAAGGTTCCATTGCATGGGCCGCTATTTGGCACCACAAGGACAGGGCCAGAGCCACTTGGGTCCCCTCACATAAGGACCAATGCTACTTCAAGCAGCACGACATTCCGGATTGGAGAAGGATTATTAATGAAGACGTTGACGGCATCTGTCGCCATCTGTCTGAAGAGGCCTACTCCTGGGAGCACGCGAAATGGCTTAAGCAGGCGGATGCCGTGTGCCAGGAAGTTTCTTTGCATCTGGCCAAGAAAATTACGTTCATTTTGCATAATCGCAATTCGGGAGTGTTGCCGTGGATCCTTAAAAGGCCCAAACATGCAGACGCTGTGCACGAGCAGCCACTGGTGCTGCCGAATCCTGCTTTTCAGAAGCCCAAAACGGCCACCCTCAACAAGCGCCAGCGAATGAAAGCATGCATTGAGGGCACTGGGGATACTTTGGGTCATAAGTGGGTCTTGGGCTCCGAGGGTTCTTCAAATCTTACCATGAGGTGCGAGATTTGCGGTCTGTACGTTCAGCAGATTTTGCTCCAGGCGCGTTTTGACAAGCTCATGCAGCACCCTTGCAAGGATCAGGCTAGTGCCCTACCTTCGGAGTGGAACATACATCCCAGTCATAGTATGCTGAACATGGGGGTGTACTGGATGTGCACTAAGTGTGAGAAACTTCAGAGGCCTGTTTCCGAAGAGGCTGTGAAAATTCTTACAGTGCCGTGTAAGGGGCCACCTAAAAAATCAGGCCACCATGCGAAACAAGGCCATGCCAATCAGCGGACCCTTACCCAAAAACCTGTTGCTGCACTTGAAAAGACTCAGGCGAGGGTTCCGTTCGGAACCAAGGTCAAACATAAGCCAACCGTCGGAGAGGCTCATCCACCGCCGGGACAGGCTGAATCCAGTAGCGCGAAGCCCAGCAAAGAGGCTCCGCCTGCCCTGAAGCAATCTTTGCTGGTTTTCGGCAGGAAGCAGTAAAGGTCGCCTGGGGTTGTGGTTGACTAGGTCCTGGCCCCGGACCCTAAGGAAAAACCTCTTGTCCTTGCCCCAAAAATTTGTTTGGCCTGTTGGTTGTGTTTCTTTAGGGGTTGAAGGTCCCTCTAATAGGTGATTCTCTCAGGCCCGATCGGAGTGCGCTTGAGTGCTGCACCCGGCTTGCCCAAGTCCCCTACTGACCTCTGGTACCGGTGTGCGCCAGTGGCTGCACCCACCAGCCTTCAAATGCTGTGGTGCGAGTACTTTGCCGACATTAAGGGTCTTGCGTCCAGGCCTTTGTTTAGTGGGGGAGCGGCTCAGGCTGTAGCTGTCACCATCTCTCATGTTGGTTGACTGCACCCGTCCCGCTGGTATGCAATGTGAGATGGTTGTTTTCGCGCTGTTGCATTTGTGGCGAGCCCAGTCACCAGCGTTGCACACATACTGCATCCTGTCATGCCAGTGCTTGAGGGGTTTGCCCGGCGTTAGGCCGTTTGGCTAGGGTTCTGCCCGCGCGCTTTCCTCCTTAAGAGCGACCCCCATAATCCTTTTGATTTCACGCCGGTGTGCGCTTGTCAGCTGCACCCGAAAACTGAAGTTGCTGGTCAAACAAGGCTGAAGGCAGGAGCTTGGGCACCTGTGAGGCCCTGGTTGGTTTGCTTTCCAGCCAAATGCACGCCCGACTGCTTCCTTGACATAATGCTCATGTTGCGTTGCCTTTCCCTACAGGGCTTCGGTACTGCTGCAGCGTGTGAGTGCCTCCCGCCGGCTTCGTCAAAGGGGCTCTTGGTGCGAATGTGCCTTCGGGAGGCTTGTCGTCTGTCGAGGATTGCCGCCTGTCTTGATGCATCGCTGCTCTGTGGCCATGTGCCCAGGGGTCCAGTGCACTTGATGAACGTTCTCTTGGCTATAATGCTCATGACCCTTCTGTGGTACGTGCACTCGCGTGTGCGTACCACCGGGGGGTTCTTCTTCGTCGCTGTGTACAGGCTGCTGGTAGCGAACTCGCTGTGTACAGGCGCTGTCAGCTGCCGTGGTCCGACTTCAAACTTTACTCGGGGCTATGGCCTGTGGGCCGTCTGGTCCTTT